TTGGTTACAAGAACATTATGCCATTTTTGAGCCAGAGACAAAATAATAGCTGACATTCACAGTACTGATAAAAAATTATCTATATGGGTGAATCACAATCACAGCTGTCAGGAACATGTCCAGGTCATATTTCACTCTAAACTCAAAGGATAGTAATAAGAAATTACATTTTGCTTAAAGAAAATTAAGCCTATTTTAGGACCATTAAAAATGTTTGCATTTTTGCTCTTTATTTTAATGAAAATTAAGCACATTTTCCCTTATTGCATTAATGAGAATCTGGAGGAAAATAAAGCCAAAATTATGACCTGGACATGTTTCCGTGAGATTTTCTCATATGTGTGGGAAAGAGTGAGGAGGTGTTGCCATTTTTATATGTGTCTGCTTTAACTTGCTGTAATGTTTTAGAGTCTGGTTATCTTTTCCCTTCTCTGAGTCAGCAGTTACCCACATTCACCACAGGCCAGAGACCTTCAGAGAGAGACAGAGAGAAGCAGAGAGAAACAGTGAGCAAGAGAGGCCTTGTAAAAAAGTACCCAGCTATTCTAAGTATTCATCTCTCGCTGTAAAAGCAGGAACATACATTCCATAACAGAAACAGAGATAGAATATGGTATGACATATAGATCTGGAAGTTCCCTTAAAGACAAACACTACAAAAGAGATATTACATTACATACAGTAACATTCAAAAGTTTTGGGGTTGTTTTGAAAGAAATTAATACTTTTAGCAAAGAATCCTGAAAATGAGTATCATGGTTACCACACAAAAATGAAGTAGCACAACAGTTTTCAACGCTGATAATAATAAGAAATGTTTCTTGAGCAGCAAATTAGAATGTTATTAGAAAGCTGTTGAAAATTCAGCTTTGCCATCACAGGAATAAAGTATATTTTAAAATATATTCAAGCAGAAAACAATAATATAAGTAATATATATGTAATATTTCACAATATTACAGTTTTGCTGTATTTTTGACTAAATGCAGCCAAGTGAGCATAAGAAACTTTTCAAAAACATAAAAAAATGTACTGACCTCAAACTTGTAAATGTGAGTCTACTTATATAGTTCTATTTGTATTTTTTTTTGTCATTACTAACTATATTATCAGCATACTTTGAGATTCTAATGAAAAGAAATCAACATGAATTTCATACTGTCTTAGTAGTTTGTTTGTCATCTCATTTGAGCTGCATGAATTCCACTAGCTTCTTTCTAAATTATAAAACACTTTCTGGTTTAAATTAAATTTTGAATCCTAGATGTGGACTTAGACTTTTGAACCACACTGTATATATATATACACACAATTTATAGACAAACTGAATTTATATCAGCAGTAAAGAAGAGACATCTCCTCTGGTGACCCTCACTATCAGCTCCATGCCTGTCTTTAGCAAAAAGCAAGAGTAACAACTTAAACACTAATGATAAGATAAGTGTAAAAACCACAGATAACCATTTTCTTGACGCTCACTTTATAAACTGCTGCGCACACAAACATATAAAACATATGCACAGCATAAAATATATATTTATGGTATTTTCTTTCATATTATGTATAATTAATAAAAAGAATAAGCTTATCCTGCCAGTTCCACAGAAAATATTCAGTTTGTTCTGTGGGAGGAAAGCAAAGAACACTTGGCAGGAGTAGAAAGAGTCTGAATAAAAGAAGAAAGAGTGAGAGAGAAAAGCAACCAGGTGAGTCTCTCCCACAGTGACAGAGACTGCAGTTTCCTTCCAGCTGCCTTCACTCAGGTCCTCTTTTGTTGTGGCCCTGTGCTGCAGATGAAGAACGAGAGGGTGGTTGAGTGCCGAAAGGCAGATGTGAGAAGAAAGAGGAACAAGCTGAGCCCACACAGTGTGGAGGAACACACACACTTACAGCAAATCCACAGATAGGTTTTTACTGTGAATTCTAGCATCTAAACACAACCTTCAGCTCTGCCAGACTCTGAAGGCTTGTTTTCTGAAGGGCCTTCTGTGATGTTCACCGCATGCATACTTCTTCGGAAAGCCAGGACTGCTTGAGCATTTTGGACAGAATGACTTAAGCAGAGGATGAAACAAGTAAGGTGACCTCTGGCAAGGCCTGCAGGTAAATAAATGTATTGGACCTGTTTGAGTCACACAGGCACACCCACAGAATTTATGTCCTGTTTCAAACATTCTCGCTGCTTTCCAAGTGTTCGGACAACTATAGGTCACACAAACAGCCATCCAGGTCTTTTCATGCTCCCTTTTATCAAATTCATCTTCTCCCAACCCCCATCTCTCTTTCCTTCTCTGCATTGTCTATTGAATTGAAATACCCTCCAATTCAGACCGCTACCAAGCAACCTATGTAACAGAAGCTTGGAGATTGTGCCAAGTCAATCCACCCACTTTATTTTTTTTTACCAGAGTCAGCACTTTGACACAGTACCCACAATGCCTTGTGTTTGATCTTCTGCTCCAGCTAGAGACAATGATCCTTGCAAACCTGCAGGTTTTCCCTTCTCAACACAAAAGAAAATTTTAATTCATATAGACGACCTTACTTGATGTAAGTTTGAGCTTTATGTCAGAAGACTATTACTTGCAAAAATCATATAATACCTAGAGAATGCTAAGCATTAGCATTCCCATTTATTTTAATGTTAGCTACTCAGCTAGCGCAACATTCAATTCAATTCAAATTTATTTGTATAGCGCTTTTCACAATTCACATAGTTTCAAAGCAGCTTTACAGAAAATGCTAAATGGATTTTTTTTTTTTTATCTAAATGGATTTAGATATCCTAGGTACTACTAAAAGTCTCATGACCTTAAAGAGTGTGATGGATTGTAGGGCATTAGAAGATCAGTTAAATATACAGGAGTAAAACCATTTAGGGCCTTATAGGTTAGTAGCAATATTTTGAAATCAATATGGAATGTAATGGGTAACCAGTGCAGAGATGATCAAATTGGGGTACACTCTTAAAAATAAAGGTGCTTCAAAAGGTTCTTCAAGCGATGCCATAGAAGAACCATTTTTGGTTCCACAAAGAACCATTCAGTCAAAGGTTCTTTAAAGAACCATCTCTTTCTTACCTTTTTGTAATCTGAAGAACCTTATTTCACACAAAGAACCTTTTGTGAAACAGAAAGGTTCTTCAGGTGTTAAAGGTTCTTTATGGAACCATTTAGACAAAAAGGTTCTTCTATGGCATCGTGAAGCACCTTTATTTTTAAGAGTGTAATATGATCATATTTTTTTGACCTGCAAGAAATCTAGCAGCTGCATTTTGGACTAAATATAGCTTGTTTATTGAGGATGCAGGACAACCAGCTAGTAATGCATTACAGTAATCCAGCCGAGAGGTCATGAATGCGTGAACTAGCTTTTCTGCGTCTTAAACAGGTAACATATTCCGTAGCTTAGCAATGTTTCTGAGGTGGAAGAAGGCCATTTTTGTAACATGAAATATAATTTTTGAAAGTAAGTTGTTCTCTAATGTAACCCCCAGGTCTTTAACTGTAGAGGATGATGTAACAGTACATCCTTCTAGTTGAAAACTGTATTCCAAGAGATTCTGTGTGCAGGTTTTTGGTCCAATAAGTAATGCCTCAGTCTTTTTAATAAAATTTAATAAAAGAAAATTACTGGTCATACAATATTTTATATCTTTAACACATTCTGTCAACTTGGATAATTTAGAGATTTCATCTGGTCGTGATGAAATATATAACTGTGTATCATCGGCATAGCAGTGGAAACCAATTCCACGTTTTCTAATAATGTTGCCAAGTGGCAGTATGTATATTGAAAATAACAGAGGGCCTAACACAGATCCTTGTGGCACACCATAATTTACTGATGTTAACATGGATTTTTCACCATTTAAGTAGACAAAATGGTAACGGTCTGCTGGGTACGATCTAAACAATGCCTGTCCCTGAATACCAGTATAATTTTGAAGTCGATCTAAGAGTATGTCATGGTCTATAGCAGGGCTCATTAGCTGCAGGAAAACTATGCTAATTAGCACCACAAGTACACATTGTACTGGCAACTATTCTGAGCTATGTCAAAATGCAGTAGCCAGGGAAAAACATCCAAAACATACATCCGATTGCACACTTTTAAGAGCCAATGGAGAGAAAATGCACTCATAAAACAACTTCTGTACTATAATGAAATATTAAATATTACTTGTTTATGCTAAACAAGAAAATAGCCATATTAGTTTGCTTTTGGTAATGATGGTGTAGTTACAGCACCTACAAACAGAGGCTTATTCTAACTAGCTAAATCTTGATCCCTTGGGCTACAGAAAGATAACTATATATTAGCATCCACACCAATACGCAAGCTGCAGTTATGTCGTCTGCCACTTTAAATGCTCTCGCTCTTTAAAGTTGGGTGGATTCTGACTGGCTGTTAATGTTTTGGTAAGTAATGGTGGGTATTTATAATCATCTTTAAGCAGGTTCATGTCTAATATTTTCACAAGCTAGAATCATGCTCTACTGACGTCCATGCAGACTTCCTCTCTTTGTCCTAGTAACACAAGAAAAAAAAACTGAAAAGCAGGTGACATCAGGGCTCTGTTACTAACGTCTGGCATATTTTGTCTAAAATGGCCATACTGAAACAGCTAAACTGTCCCATCCCAGTGTTATTGTAAATATCTTCCAAAAAGACACAAAGAACTATGAAACATGAATGCAATTGTGCCCTGATAGCACATGTACATCATGAAGTCTATTTCACGTCTGCATTTACATCTGCAAGATGTTTTTTTTTTTTTTTTTTAAGTGTTTGCTCATCTGCAATACGTCTTTGGGACGTTTCCTTTCAGATGTACAATAGACGTTTAGAAGTTCTTTAAGATGTTTATGAATGTATATAAAACTGACATATTAAAGACGTCTATCAGATGTTTGTACGCAGACATCTTGCTGACATATGTGTGCTATCTGGGATGAGCATGTTTTGATAAAGAATACGACCAGGTCCACGGGAAACCATTGCCAAGATAGGAAATCTTTTATTACAGAGAAAAAAAACTTTTCTTCCAAAATATAGAAATCTGTACAACTTCCGCACAATCAATTTACATGAACTGTACAAATTTACAGCAGTTCATCACAACATACCCAAGAATGAGGAAAAAGAATGAACACAAGAGATGTACAGACAGAAAAAATCACAAGATACAGACAGCTTTATCTTGGGTTGCTCAGAATTTTTTCTTTTTCTTTTTTTTTTTTTTAAAAAAAGAAAGAAAGAAAGAAAAGATAAGAGGGAAAAAACAAGGAAAGTCTATCAGCACAGAGCATGGAAACTGATCAATATATATATTTTTTTTTTACCAAAACAACTTTGGTCCTCTCCAACACTCCTAACACAAATGGCTTCACTTATGAAAGAGGAATTCATGTTAAAATATGAAATACAAAAAGGAACACGTCTACACACAGCAAAATATAAATTATTGGCACTTCCCATATGTATGGTTATGTACTTACTCTACTATATGTTGTACAATAACAATACATTCTACAAATATGGAACCACCTCAGATGCGAAAGTGGCAATAACGTGAATCACTTCTGAAATGATCGACAAAATTCCCAACCGAATAATTCCCTTCTGTTTTTCACATTTTAACCTGCACATCCATAAGAGTTTCAATGAATGTCTGTGGCCTAAGCTTGGCAATACATTCCAATCAAGACACATCGGTCTCAAAGTCACACAACTTCAATGTTTAACCTATTAGTGCATTTCATGTGCTCTTGCCTCAGAGTAGACTTGAGTTTAGACTCACGACGATACTTAAAACTTGTGTGCAAATGCTTACCGAACTGAAACGGAGAGTGGAAATGGTTTGCTGATGTTATTTCAGTGGAGGTGGGGGAGGGGGTAAAGTAGTTTGAAGCAGTTTAAAAGCTGCAGATCTAAAAAGCACTCGATTTGTCTGTTCCAACTTGGTTACGATCACCAGAATGAGGTTAAAAAGCTTTAATATTAAAACCATCAGGCAAAGGGGGCCGCCTCTCAGAGTTCAAAGCATTCAGAAGGGTGGGATGGCGAACTGAGTCCAAATATCAAGGTTCGACCCGTACTTAAAATTTAATTTAAAAACGCCTTTCTGCCTCTCTAAAATAGACCAAAACAACACAGAAAGGGACGACAGTGCATCGACAACCCGGCGTTACCCATGGTCCTCTAGGGTCGAAAGTAGTAGCACACATAGGACTGATAATCAGCACCTTGTCTCTGCAGTTTAGCGGCTAAGGCAAGAGCAGTCTGTCGCACACAAAGCCTGCAACCAGCTTATTTCCGCCCACTCACGCCAATGTAAACAGAATCGTCCAGAACCAGGAGCACACCGTATGTCTCTCCCCGTCCCTACTCGGCCCTGTACGTAAGGCTCAGTAGGTTTTGGAGTGCGCTCGGTATGTGTGCTGGCATAAAAACTCTCCTGCAGACTGCGAGAAGGGGGCCGGAGAGGATTGTAGCTGCCCTGATGTGAGGGTCCTACCCCCTCCTTCGACAGGCTTAGGGAGGGAGGTGATATGTTTTGACGGCGCACTCCTAGTTAAGACTGAGACCGGTGACGACTGGCTGGAAAGTGCATCGGGAGACCCTCTGTAACAAGCGAGCATCACTGGCCCTGCGATTCTGCGAGAAGATGGGCAACATTGGTCTGTTTTTTGATGCCGTTTCTTGCTGGTCTGTTGACTCTTGCCATGTACTGGCCTTAAATGGAGTCCAATAGATGGAGAACTAATCTCTAACAGCCTGAATCAGTCATTCGAAAGGATAAAAGAGAGAGAGAGAGATCAATCCAGGATTGAAATGTCTCTCTCACCTTCAGAAATATTGCAACCACGTTGCTCTGTGACAACTGAATGAGGAGGTACGCGATGGAATGCAGCTAGGTCGAATCGAAACGTCACACACAGTCTAAAATGTCAAAGTGCATTCAACGTCCTTTCTAAATCAGGCAGAAAGTAAAGACCACATCTGCTCAAAGTAAAAAAAAAAAATACTTTGCTACATCTTTCATTTTGGTATGACGAGGGGCTTAAATAATTCAAATGTTTTGTCTGCATTAGATTTTTTTTTTTTCTCTCTTTTTTGTTAGAAATTACATTCATCCAGGAGGGAGCCCCTAGAAAAAGCTACAAGCATGAGAACGTCTGCGTCACAGTGCCATCCACGGCTAGCGCGGGTAACAGTATGACACAGGTATTCCACCGCGGCAGTGTACAGGATGGAGGCTGTTTGAAACCGGTTCATGTCGACCTGAAGCTCAAAATAAGGCCTGGTTGCATACCAGACACCGAGAAAAGAGACAAAAGTACCGCTTTGTGGTCCAAAAAAAGTGAGGTTTAAAAAAATAAAAAAAAAAGAGGCTTGTAGCGGATACTCTGGTCCGGAATGGCTGCCAGCAGGTCTGGGCTTCAGTTCGACAGTGAACGGTGAAATGATAAAACAGGATTCTGAAAATAATTCCTTAACATTTTAGAGGGAGTTTGCGTTTAAGTGATAACAAACAGTGAAAGCGAAAGTGCAAAGTCAACATCGGCAGACGATGGTGGAAACAGCCCCCCCAGGACCGCCGACGTGGGAGTGGGCCAGTCTCTGTGAGCTGGGGGGCCGGGCGATGTTTCAGGTCTTCATTAGCTGCCCCAGGGTCAAGCCTCTGGTAGATCCAACACAATAACAGACAACCAAACGAGTGAAAATTAAACCTACGAGGTTTCCATCACCTGGATGATAGGACACATCCTGTTTTTTTTCTTCTTCTTCTTCTTCTCCTTCTCCTTTCTCTTTTTTTATGTTTGAAAAATGACTTCTGTGACCCATTTAGCTGGACACAGTCATCATGTAGGGTTTAGCAGGGCTGGTATGACCCAAAACCAGTAGTTCCTCCTTACAGCTGATGTGACTGTCCACCATCGGGGATACCTGGGTGACAGAGGAGGCGGGGTTGCCATTTCCAGTGGTGACGCTGGGGTTTCCGTTGGTGCTGGGGTGGGACTCGTAGAGCACGCAGATCGAGCCGTCCTCTCCGATGCGGTAGGACACTTCGAATGGGTCGACCCACAATGTAAGCTCACTGGGAAGCAGCAGGTAGAGTTGCTGGATGCTCAGGCCAATGCGCTGGCCGGCCTGTCCCACCAGAGGGTCCATCTTGTGGTTGATGCGTATGCAGCGATACCCAGAACCTTTGTTGGGACGGTCTGGGAACCAGTGGTGCTTGTATTGCTCTGTAAGAGAGAGATGGAGGTGCTTTAGTAATCTTGCATACATGAAATAATAAATAAAAAGCATTGGTCAACAAAACAACAAACAAAAAAATGAACAGACATTACATATAATAATAAACTCATTTGTTTGATTGAAATGCTGTTTAAGATTTTTTCCGTGAAATGGAATTTTTTATTTTTTTTTACTCAGTTACAGATGCACAGATATTAAAATTTTGGATGAAAAGTCACGGCCAGTATTACAATTCTATGTTAGTTTTTTTTTGTTTTGTTGTTCTTAAAAACCATTTGAACAATTAAATTAAAACCGATTTAAATTATAACTATTAATTGTAATGTACATTAAAGACATTCATTTTAAGATCTGTTAAAAACAGAGTTACTGAAGAACACTATTATCAAGTTTTATATTTTATATAAAATATAAAAGTAAAAATGGAACTTGCAAATCATTTTTTTAACTCAGTTGGGGATGCAGATATTAAAACTGGCTGAAAAGTTGATACTAATGTTTATGTTATATAGGCATCATAAAAAATCTGTTAGTTTGTCTCAATCATTTAAAATTAAATCAATTGTTTTAAATTGTCAATTATAATCTACATAAAATATTAATTTTGAGATTTATAATGTTTAAGTATATTAAACTATAACTTGAGTATAATTAATTATTAGTGTAATTAAAGAACACTATCATTAACTAAGTGATTTCTAGATGTAAACTTAGGTGGAAATGAACATGCATTTTTAAATATCCATTATCAGCCATGCAGGTATTATTACTAATATTGGCAGATAGGTGACATGTCCAATAAACTAATATTACAATTTATGTAGTTGTTAATTATAGCCATCCTTAACTACACTAAGACAATGGTTATCGTTTTTGAATCCATCAAAAATTTATTTTGTTTGTGTTATTCTAGCAATAAAAGGAAACACGGATGCAATGCAAGGACGGACGGACAAATGATTACATTTAGAAAGGAAAAGAAAAACAACTAAATACTACTTATCTGCCAACACATACCATAACCATAAAAAATTAAGCATGGTTTAAAAAAAAAAAGAAAATACAAATTCTGATAGTTCGGCCTTGTATTGCAGCAAATGTAACGGTAGAAAGGGGGCGAGGGTCTAGAAAGGATGTTTTTCACAGTGAAATGATAGTTGGTAGAACACAGACAAACAACCATTAACCATCTGTGTCAGAGGCCTACGTGACGGAGGGAGAGAGAGAGAGAATCATTTGATTACACAATCCCCTTTTGGCCCGAGAGTCACAAAGTCTTCAAACACAAGGAGACCAAAAGGGTGAAGTCCTGGCAGAGCAGCTGGAGGGGGAGGGACCATCCTCTTAAAGACAAAGTGTCCCATTTAGACAATCTGATTTCATTATTTCATGGTTCAAATGGATCAGCTTTGCTTTTTGCTAGTAGGTGATGTTTTTGTCCATATCTTTTGAGAGAATTCATTAATAATAATGGTGACTCCAAACATCAAATCATGACTTTTCAAATGTGCCAAGTTACACCCTGCACAAAGGACTCATCTTCCAAAAAGAAAAAGACTTATCGCAATTGCTTTTTCGTTCCCTTCTGGCTCTGTGTATTGGGTGACAGGTGGAGAACAGGAGACAGAGAGATGGGTCTCACGCCTCTTTGTGCAGCTTTGAAATAGGCCAGGCCCCCGCAGGCCACCTGTAGACTTGGGTTAGATAATGCCGCCTGTGTGCTGTCTGTGATGTGACGTCCCATTCTCCTGGAAGCTAAGTACACAATGATCAATGCAGATCAACCCACCCACAACTCTGGACGGAGCACAAACCGCAACAATGCTCGTACTCCACAAAAATGTTCAACGACGTGAAAATGTTGCTTGTCGTTGTCCAAATAGCCTTGTGGTGGCTGTATTATGAAGTCTTATTTGTGAAACAAGGCCTGCTGTGAGGTTGAGAATTAGGACAAATCCGTGACAAACGTGTATTTAGTGATGTGATGAGAACAGGAAGCAGAAACAGATTTTCAGATTGATTTTACACAACAACTGTTTTCAATCTGGCAATCCTCTCTAAAACACACATTTTAATTGTGGAGAAGGAACTAACCCACTTTTTCTACCCTATGGGGATTATGAGGAGTCTTTGTTCCATTGTGTGGAGATATGTTGGGCTGAGAACGCTGGGAAGGCAAGGAAAGAGAAAAACTAAACAAATGCTCTGCAACAGTAATATGCGATGTGAAACTAGCAGCCATCCTCCCTTCCACCACTGACGGCCATTTTGTCTGACTGGGGCCACAACTCCATTTGTTTACAAACAGCATTTAGTGACTGCCTGTTCCCAACAAAAATAAAACATGTATGTTATAATACTAATATATTA